TGCCTCAGCCTTTATTGTGATTAGCATTTGAAATCCATTTCCACAAAAATGGCCTTATTCTTGATACTTTCATTTGGAATTGCTCCTAGTTGCATAAACCATCTTGTTTCATTTCTTTGTTGCTGAGTTAACAAACCATTCCACATCCTAGTAACTTAAGACAAAAATGATTCTTTTCCACCATTTGGAAGCCAGGCCAAGCGTCGGCTGAGTGGTCCTGCTGTCCTTGATGTTGGAACGCCCAGGACACTGTCTCCACTCCCTGTGGTTCCTCAGCCGGCCACGTTTTCCTTTCCCTAGCACCTCTCCTTACAGATGGCACAGGGAGGAAGTCCTCTTGGTGGTGTGGTTAAAGAATTTGGCTACTTCCTGAAAGATCAGCAGTTTGACCCATCAGCTGTTCGTGGGTGAACAGTGAAGGTGTCTGCCTTCACAAAGCTGTGTTGCCCTGTGGGCAGTTCTGTGCTATTATAGAGGGTCCCTGTGATTGGTAATGTACTCAGTCACAGTGGGCTTTATTTTTTTTTTTAACTCTTATGAATCATTTGAACATCCTCACAGCATGGTGGCCTCCGGGTAGTAGAAGTCATGTGGTGACTGGCTTCTAAAAGGGAGGAAGTGGAAGCCGCTGGTGCCATCACTTACACCCCATTTTATGGATCCAAGTAGCCCAGATTTCAGGGAGGATACAGACTCTTTTATGGAGGGACAGCTTTTGTCACAGGAAGGACCGCAGCCATATTTGGAGATTTTTCTAAAAGGATCTGTCTTGTCTAGATCAGGAACTACACGTGAAAAAAAAATTGTACATAAACTCTCATCAAGTTGCTATTGATTCTCATCCACTTCATAGCGGACCCACCAGCAGGTTTTCAGAGGCTGAGGAGATTGCCCATCTGCATCCCTCCCAGCACCTGGTGGCTTTGAACCTCTTTCCTTTGAGTTGGCAGTTCAACTCTCTACACACAGGGTCAGACCTCCCTGGAATTTAAACTTGGTATACTCTAACAAAGGCGCTGGGCTTGAGTGTCTAGTTTTAAAGAAATGTGTCAAGTTTAGTTGGATGAAGACTCTTAGGGAAAAGGGCTCTGTCTGGTTACAAAACTGTGCTCTGTCAAAATCAAGATTATACAAAATGGGTGACCCTGGAGGACATTATGCTGAGTGAAATATCTTAGTCACAAAACGACAAATACTGCCTAATACCACTGTTATAAAACAGGCCTGACATGGGGGTTAGGGAGAAAACTAAGAAAAGAGGGGATACATAATGTACACGGCATTGACACAGAAGAGGGAGAGAACTGTATAAAAGGAATATATGATTAGGTATTATTGTCATGACAAGAATCCAGTATAAGAGCTGCACAGTAAAGTGGTCTGGAGCGGGGGACAACTGTATAACAACGAAAGTAAATTTTTTCCAAAGAAAAAAGCAAATGGGGGTGGTGGGGAACGGGCAGAGAGGAAAATGTGCAACAATGAATGAATGGAAATCCAAGGTTTTTTATAAACTTTCATTAAAATAACAATGAAAGAATTTTTTTTCCAAAGAAAAAAGCATTTGGGCAGGGAGGAAAATGTGCAACAGTGAATGAATAGAAATCCAAGTTCTTTATAAACTTTCATTAAAATCTCAATTAAAAATTTTTTTATAATCCAGAATCTCTGTAAATGCTCATTGAAATTATTTTAAAAAATATTTTAAAAAAAAGAATAAACTTTTAAAAATTTTATAAAAAACTAAGGTTAGGAATGGATTGGTATTGATTAATGAGTAAGTGTGAGTGCAGATGAGGAACAAGGTGCTGTCTGATCTGTTAAAACACTGGTTTCTCTTTAATCATTAGAATTGTCTCCTTTATGATGGGAGAACATAAGGGTACTTTGATTAATGAGAATCAGAAAGGCCTGTTTCCTATTCATTTTCTCACCTCAGAGAGGTGTTAGGAAAAGTGTCACATTATTTAATCTCCTTGAGCTGGTAATTTCGTGAAATATCTGCGGTTGCTCATCTTTATTCATGGTGGTGGTGGTGGTGGTGATGTGCTGTCGAGTCCCTTGCAGCTCATAGCGACCCTATGTACAACAGCCCTAAATCCTGCTCTGCTCTGTGACAGTCTCACTGTCTCCAACACACCCACCCGGATTATCCCAGTCACTGAATCAATCCACCTCATAGAGGGTCTTCCCCTCTGTGCTATCCCTCCACCCTCCCAAGCACGACATTCTTCTCCAGGTATTGGTCCCTCTTTACAACACGTCCAAAGTATGTCAGACGAAGCCTCAGAATCCTTGCCTTCCAGGAGCAGCCTGGTTTAACCCTCTCCGGGATGAATCTGTTTGTTTTTATGGCAGCCCATGGTACATTCAGTACTCTTCTCCAGCACCACAGCTCAAAGGCATCAATTCTCTTTTTATCCTCCCTAGTCATTGTCCAGCTCTCTGATGCATAGCCAGTGATTATAAAGACCATGACCTGTATCAGTGCACCTTCATCTCCAGTGTGACACCATTGCTCTTCAGTATTTTGGAGAGGTTCCTAAGAGCAGACTTTCCCATCACAGTGGGTCTTTTAATTCCCTGGCTTCCTGGTACTACAATAGGAAATGGCCCTAGTATTCCTACTTTTTGACCTGAGTCATTTTCTGACTTTTTAAAGTACAACCACTAGGTTCTTGAGATCCAAATAATTCAAAATAAGGATGCAGTAAGCGATAATATAAGAATGAATCTTTTTTTGAAGTATACAGAATACCTATAAAGTCATTCTTCTTTGCTGATAGCACTCCTGAATTATAGTAATAGCTCCTTAATCAGTATGTGGCTTTGTAACTTTTTAAAATAGAGAGTGCCTCCGTTCACTGCTAAAGGCTGTAGTCTGTGGTATTCAGTGAGAACAGGTGTAATGGTAGCATAGGTCCGCGCCTTTTCTTCTGGGTCGTACAAATGGTTGACGTTCTCACTTGCTACCAGGAGGTTAGAAGTTGGCCCCAGCCGTTGGAAATCTTACGGAGCTCAGTTCTGTTCTGGCCCCCAGGAAATCTCCATGAGTGGGAGTTAATTTGGCAGAAGCTACTCTTCTGATCTGTCTATGTGGTGGCCTAGTGGCAAGAAGCTGCGCTGCAATCTCAAAGACATGTGATTCAAATCCACCAGCTGCTCAACAGTCTCCTCCCCCTGCAATTTCTGCCTCTGAAAACCTGCTGGAGGGTCAGCTATGAGTCATTTGTGACTCTACAGTATATAACAACAACAACATAGGTGAAACAGACACTCCAACAGAGAAGAAATGGACAGGAGATAACATTACACACAGAGGCCAAGCTCTGATGTTCTCCTCCTTGTGCTGTGGGAGGCAGGGATCTTAGAATTTTCTAAAAGCTTCTCTCCAACAGAAGAAAAGCCGCCCTGCCAGATGCTGTGAGATCCCAGCTTAATTAGCCTTGAAAAGCCAGCAGGATAGGTGCTGTGAGCAAAATGTTTGCTGTGTGCTGTTTTTAAGACTATCATCTGTCACATGTATCCAAGGATTACAGTCAACCAAGGGTGGGGGCTGGGGGTGGAAGATCTTTTTTTTTGGAGGTGGGGTGGGGTGTGGAAAATCTTGAACCTACCCTTCTGAGGTCAGAAGCCCAGTTTCCTCATACTGTTGCTGTTGTCATCGATCAAGGTGATTTCAGGCTGGACCCCATATGTGCAGAGTAGAATTGATCCATAGGGTTTTCAAGGTAGTGACCTTTCAGAAACAAATTGCTAGCCCTTGTCTTCTGAGGTCCCTCTAGGTGGGCTCAAACTCCCAACTTTTTGACTAGTAGTCAAGGGCTTAATCATTTGTACCACTTAAGAGGTAGATATGATGCTGCTTTAAGCAACGAGGCATTTTATGATAAAGAAGGAATGTGTTAGCCACATGCAGCAAAGCAATTTAATGTTCATAGGGAAGAAGATGTGGAGCTCTGATGGCGGCCTAGTGTTAAGAATGTATACTTCAATCCCAAAGCACATGGTTCAAATCCACCAGCTGCGCTGTAGGAGAAAGATGGGCATTCTCCTCCCGTGCAGTTTACCGTCTCTGCGGACCCACAGGAGGGTCAGCTGTGAGTCGTTGGTTCGACGATACACATCAACAATAACAATGACAGGAAAGGAGATAGTGCTATCGAAGCCCTTTGACATATGGTTTTGGAGGACCCTGTGTTTCTGGTTGCCATGCTCTTAGGTAGCAGGGATATGTTGGTGAAGAAGACTGGCTGTAAAAGGCACTGAGGTCAGTAAAAGGTACCAGTGAGCAAGTCTTTAGCAAGGAGCACTGTTAACCCAAGGGCCTTATGGCCAGTCCACCAGTAGCTCTTCAGTAGAATGATGGACTGTCTCCACCTATGTGATTTACAGCCTCAGAACCCAGTGGAAGGTTAGCTATTAATTGGTTCCACAATCAGTGAGAGAAAGAAAATAATATAGTGAGACCAGGTCAGGTGCTCGGGGGTAGGGAGTGGAGTTGTTGTTATTGTTCTGTGCTTTCAAGTTGGAACCGACCCACAGCTGACCCCTCCATCCAGCAGGTTTTCAGCAACAGTTAATTGCATGGGAGGAGACTGCCCATCTTTCTCCCTCAGAGCAATTAGTGGATTCGAACCATGTGCCTTTGGAATTACAGAACATTCTTTTACCGCTAGGCCACCAGAGTTCCCTTTCTGGGTTTGGGACAATGAAAGAGACCTTCAGCCCTGCCCTAAGGGAATAGGGAAGTTCTGTGAAGTAGTTACTGTGTCTTTGGTTCAGAAAGAAGCAGAACCCATTACCCAACGAAGCCTTTGAACTTTAGGTACCAAATGGAGTGTGTGCTGTGGAATGTAGGAGGAAGCAGCACCAGCTGGTGAAGGCTGGAGTGACTGTATTGGTGGTACTGTGGTGCTGCGTCCTTCTGCAGGGACGCTCCGGGGCTGACTCTTTGATCGTCACTTAACCACATCTTTTCCTTGTGTTTTTATTCCCAGACTGCTATCCTCAGACGACAGGGTCGGTACATACGCTCCACGGTTCCTGCAAATGCGGAACAGGAAGCACAGAGCTTATTTGTTACAGAGGTAATTTTTCCCCTCTAAATGTGGACTTTCTTATCATTTTCCCTCTTCTTTAAATTTTCATGACAGTTTTCAAGAACGTGCCAAAGAGGCAGTTAACATTTTTGTGCTAGAAATTTAGAGAAGAATACCATGAATTGTTTTTTCTTCTTGATACTTTCAGGAATGTGTCAACAGGATCATTGCTGACTCCCAAACAGGGATTCTACCATATTGATCTCATTGGTTTAAAACAAGGGATATGTTAGAAATTAACTCTTGGGTAGTCCTTATGGGAATCGTCAGTTGTTACTGCTTTTACAAGAGATCCAGCATGCACTGATACATTCATTTACTTTAGGTCTATATTTAGCAATTATTTTCAACTCTATGATTTATGAAGTGCTAGGTGCTTGACGAGCATTATCCCTGACCAATGTATGATTATTCTTATAAATAAAAATTACTTGTAATTACTTGAAGACATAAATAGTAATTATCTTATTAAAGACAAAGGAGAAATTACTACATTTAGGCTATTTATTCTTTTTCATTCCGATTCTTTCCCTTTCAGGTAGAATAATCAGGAACTTTAATTTTGTTTATAAACATTCTCTTTTTTGTAAAATGAGTAGATTTTTTTAATACCCATTTTTCTCATTGATATTTAGATAGTAAATTATGACCATCAAGGAAGTTGCCCATTATAAGGAAGCTATGCTTTATATAACAAAATACCATTTAAAATAACAATATTTTGTTCTGAATGATTTGAGAAATGTATTATGTATTTAATTTTTTAAAAGTGTTTTCTCTCATCCCTTAGTTCCCTAACTTCTTTCCTATGCCACTATAATATTAAAAGTAGTTCTACAATGATAGCCAGTAAAAGTTCTTATGGAGTCATAAATGTTTATTGTAAATCAAGAGGTGTGTAAATTCTGTCCCCAGAGCGAAGACCGACCTGCAGCCTGTGTTTTGTTTTGTTTTTTAGGTTGTTGTTGTTTTTTTAATTACTTTTCTTTGTAACACATTCCAAGTCCATTTAATTCTCTGGATACTGGTTTCTGATTAAACCCAGGATGATCTGGACTTTGTATTTCTGTAGCACCATTGCCTGAGGCCTCTTTCCTAGGGTCCATGTAACATGCAAAGCGGAAGTGTGTTTACTCTTTTACAGAAAATGTTTATGGACACCTATGTTAAAGCATGTGGCAAAATTATTCATTAAGAACCCAGTTCTCCTAAGTGATCTTTAACATGCTTTTTGAAGGATAGTGCACTATTAAACTCTTTAATCCCTGCAAGTTGAGCAATAACTGATTCATCGCAGGCTGCCGGCACCAACATAACTAAACCCTCCTGGGACTGTTTCGCAGGGTGGAGCGAAACAGTACTTCCTCTCTATTCTCTGGTCCAGAGGAGAATGACTTAATGGCTTTGAAAAAAAAAATCGGCTTCAAAAACCTTTCACTGTGACTTTAAAATATTGCTGTATTTCACAGGCATGAAAGGTTAGTTATGAAATTGGTCAGACCGATGCCATTATGGAGACAGAGTTCTCTGAATACCGATTTCTCACTGAACCCATCATGATCTAGACTTTGTTACTGCTGGAGTGTAGGATCCTTGTGCTCTGCTTCTCCAGGTGCCCTAGTCGGCAAAAACTCAGAATAGTAGAAAAAAAAGTGTACGAACTTTATGAATATTGTAAGTAAACCAGTATAATTTTTTTAAAAAAAAACAGCACACAAACACCTCAACAACAAAACTCAGAATAAATCTCTGAGTACTTATCTTAGTTAACTGAGGGCTTTGTAAGTTGTTTTGCGCACATGCGTGTGTGTGTGTGTGTGTGTGTGTGTGTGTGTGTGAGAGAGAGAGAGAGAGAGATCTCTTACCATTTTTAATGTTTAAGCATAACAGCTATGTTATACTTACACATTTTCTTGTGTTGCTGCAAAATCTCTAGACACTCATTCACTCCATTCATAAAACATTCATGATATGCAAGGCTGTGTTTGTTTATTTTTCAATTGGACGGTTGCATTTTATCATTAAGAATAGTTTTATGGTTTTCATGTCCAGCATGACCTTTGGTAGACCAACTTGTCACATCACATGTTTGATGAAAACCACATGGGTTGTGTTTTGGTCTCTGAAGCAACAATAGGCATCTCCCCACCCAGCTGTGTCCAGCATGGTCCACTCTCACTTTGCTGGGCTCATGGTCCTACAGACCACTGTAGACAATCCAAAACCACACGTCGTTCTGAAATTGTGTGGGCTTGGGAATGTAATTTTGCATGTGCGTATCTGCTGTAATGCAAAACACTTTGAAGATGTAAAATAATGTTTATAAAAGGATGATATTATAGATATTTGTAATTGCCTAGCAGAGAAAATGAAAAGTCCACTTGCCACCTCTGCCCCTGTTGTGAACCTCTCTGCAAGTTAGTTACCTCTCAGAATGATAATGCAACGTTGCAAGCAACGTCCTTAGCATAGAGCCCCGCATGAAGGAAGCCCCTGCTGTTACTGATTTTGTTATTTTCATGAGTGTAGGGTAAAGGAGGGTTTACATCAGAAAACCTTTAGGTCCAGCTTATGATCTCGATAAGAGGGCTGCAAAATAAAGAGTGAAGTGATATAATAAAGTAAGCAGAGAATTTGTTCATGATATTAATTACAACCAAAGTCAGAATAAACGAGGGAAGGTATATAAGTCTATTTGTCTACATCTTTATGTGTTATATTTGTCCTGTATTTTTGGTAACACTGAAGTTTGCATATAAATAGTCAAGAACTAACTGTATAAAAAATCATTTAAATTGAGCTCATAACAACTAAATCAGACTCACTTATCAATGCTGACTCTTTTAAGATTGTGTATACATTACCTGAAGGATCTTGTTGGGTAAATGAATGAACGACATCGTGCTGACCCGTGGAAGCCACCAGGTGTGAGGTAGTTTAAATACCTCCTACACTGACCTGCATGTAGGATAATGTTTGGTGCCTCACAGTCCTTGGAGTCCTCTATACATTTTAGCTCTATACCCACCTACACATCTCTATGAAAACGCTGTAGTGTGACTATGAACTAGAATAGAAATCTTTCCTCATAACCTCACTCTGTGTTAAGACTAGAAGGATAAAACAAGAAAGCTCAGTTGTATATGAAAATACTAACAGAACTACTTGTAATATTAGTAAATACTGTGAAGGTGTGTTTAGCTTCAAATTTTCTTTTCAATATTATGTTCTTGTGTGGCCTTGTGATTTCATAAGAATATGATCTCCTAAGAAACTTGTTATATGAAAGGTGAGGTGTAGCTTGTCTTCCTGTGAAAACTGGCCTGAGATCATGTACGATGATAAAATGTTATCTGCCCCCAGACACTGTTCTCGGGGATCAGTTAGAGGGTCTCATGGGTCACGTGGGAGTCTCTGGTGGTGAAATGCCAGGGACGACTTGGTGGAGGGGAGGAGCTTTTTTGAAGTTTGTAAAGTGTGCCTCCCGCAAGCCTCAGATGTGATCCAGAGGCCAGTATTGTGTTTCCCCTTCCTTATTGCTCTTGTTCAGTACTGTTGCGTCCGTTCTAACTCTTAGCAACCCTATGGACAGCAGAACGAAGCTGCCTCAAAATTGCCATGTTAAAACCATTGTCACAGCCTCTGTGTCATTTTCTTTCTTTTTTCCCTCTCAAATATAATGACGTAATTTTTTTTTTTCAATCTTCCACCATCCCAATAGTGCATCAAAACTTATAACTCTGACTGGCATCTTGTGAATTATAAATATGAAGACTACTCAGGAGAGTTTCGACAGCTTCCAAAGTGAGTAAACGGCAGCCTGTCTAGAAAACGGTCTCTGTTCTGAAATGCTTAGGAGATACGTAACTTCATATGCACTCAGAGTAATTGGAGAAAATATTTCTAGATGCTATGTGTATATGTTATTGAGATATATATATATATATATATATTATATATAATCATTATTACATCAATCGCTCTACCTATCTATCTAAACACATAGAGTTATTGTTTATAGGGTTGTTGATCTTGGAATCAAACCTTGTAATATTGCTAGGTAGTAATAAACATGTGGATGGTTTAAATACACACATTGATAAAATAAAAACAGGTAAAATGTATCCCGTGAGAAATAAATCAGAAAGGAAATGGAAGCGTATTGAAATATGCTGCAAGATGTTTTATCTTGCAACTATTTTTAAGACACATTTCAAGAATATTCTATGTAAAGTAAATTTTTATATTGAAAAAGTGATCGCTGATTCAAAGCGAATGCAGTGCCACTGAGTCATCTGTGACTCCCAGGAGCCTTTAGGACGGAGCAGAAGTGGCATGTAGGGCTTCTTTAAGGAGGCAGACTGCCTCATCTTCATCCTAAGGCATAGCTGGTGGGTTCAAACTGAGGACCTTTTGATTAGCAGCTCAACACTGAACCCACTCTGCCACCAGAACTCATTAAAATACATCCAGGAACAAGAACTTACCTACATAAATGCCATTGTCCCTTTATTAAGTCATTCTGGAATCTACCCAAAATGAGTAAGTTTAGATTGATTAGTGGTAGCTAAAGGGAATTAGAAGTAGAACTTGTCTTGAGAATATATCTATTATAAAAAATCCTCAAAGAACTATCTTGGAAAATGGAATTAATTATGAACATGGAAAACACATAGTGGTGGTTGACTTGAAAAAGTGACATCAATAATGAAATTTTGCTTGAGAACAAATAATCTGTTATCCTTTGTGTTTGTTGCATCTGTGACATTGGTAGAGTCTTTTATCCTACACTCAGGGGACCAAGCTGTTTGTTTTTCTTGTTTGTGTGGTTCAGCCACTCCTGAAGCATGTTCAGCGAACTTCCCAAGAGTCTTCTTTTTAAACTTTAGCAGAGAAAACTCCCTAACCATTATCTTTTCCAGATGGCTTTGCTCTTTAATTCTATATTTACTTCGCACACGCTGGGGCATTTTAATAGTCTTCCCATTTGTTTATATTTCTCCACCTTCATTGATTGCCTGGTTTGTACTATTTTCATGGCTGAAAGGTGACATAGATTGTAAAATATACTAAAAGGTCTAAAATCAACCTTTAACTGCTGATCAATTTTACATTTTTTACATTAATAAGAGTTTATAGTTTTACGATGAGAAAGAGAAGGGAAGGTTGTAACAACGGTTAACAATATAGTTGCTTCGTTATAGCCTCTGTTCTCTTTGATCTCTGGTATCCGATTCTTCATTTGTTGAATCATTGTCATAGGCCCGACCAGCTGATGGATCAAATAACAAGTGTACAGTGCTCATATGCCTCATACATGATAACTCTTCGAAATGCTGGTTGTGATAGTAGTAATTGTGATTGTGTTACTGATTGTTGCCACGAGACTTAAGACTCTGATTTCCTGTCACTATAAATAGTGACCCCACATTCCATTTTTATCTCATATTTTATCTCATATAACTTTGTGTTAAAGTTATTCCACCAAGTATTTCATAACAACTAATCCACTTTCCAATATTTAATTCTCCACAAGCTATGCTGTTTTTCCATGTAATTTTTTTGTTTTGCTTTGAGCTCTCCAGCTAGTGTTTCTTGGGCCACCCACTTTGAAGAAGAGTGGTAGAGCGTGTTTTCATTCTCTGAGGGGACCAGCTTTGGATTTATTAAATACGGATTCCTCTGATGAATGGGGAAATGCAGAGTCTTCGATGTTATTAGGAAATTATCATTTCTTTTTCTTTTTAAAGCAAAGTGGCTAAATTGGATAAACTTCCAGTCCATGTCTATGAAGTTGATGAGGAGGTCGACAAGGACGAGGTAATACAGCCGTTTACCATTGTTTATCTTTTCACTTTAGCTTCTAAAATAGGATTTATTTTACACACGGAGAAAACAAAAGACAGAACGACTAACCTTTAGCTGAAACAGGAGGTGGAATGTTTCTCTAAACAGGGAAGGAATTTTAAGGAAAGTGTATTGTTTGATTACTTGAAATAAGGTCTCTGCTTCAACTTGATAACTTAGTATTTCATGGCCTTGTGGTCCTGTTTATTTGTTCTGAGTACATTTTCAAAGACTTGGATCAAATTTGACTACATTGTTAAAATACATCAAGATTACTTAGACCTTAAATTTAGGTTGTGTTTCAACAGGATAGGATGAAACAGACAACCAGTAGACTTCTGACTGGCTGTTTCTTCAGAATACTTTGAGTGAAGACTAGAAGAATATTCAGAAGAACTAGTTTTAACAGTCTCACGCCCTCTAATCCAAACCTTTTACCTCCATTCTAACTCACAGAAGAGAACCACCCACGGAGTTTCCAAGGCTGTAAATCTTTACAGGAACACATTGCCACGCCTTTGTTCCAGAGAGAAGCTGTTGAATTTGAGCTGCTAGGGTGCTCTGGTGGCCTAGCTGTAAGAAGCTGTGCTGCAATCTCAAAGGCACTTAGTTCCAATCCACCAGCCTCTTTGTGGTGGAAGGATGGGCAGCCTCCTGTGTAGTTAGTTAACTGCCTCTGAAACCCCCCTGGAGGGTCAGCTGTGGATCAGTTATGACTCGACAGACAGCATTTTGTTTAGTAGTAGGATGATTTTTTTTAATTAAATTTTATTAATTTTAATGAACATTTACAGAGATTTGGGGTTTTCATTCATTCATTGTTGCATTATTTTCTCTACTCTCCTCCCCAGTTCATTCTTCTTTTTTTCCCCCCTTGAAAGTCTATTTTAATTGTCCAGTTGCCACAGTGCTTGTCAAAGCCAGTTCTGGTTAATCTCCTTTGTCATTGTGTCCTTTGCTATTCCCTATCACTCCTCCTTGAGAGAGACTGCACCCTGATTCATAAGGAAAAGGGGATGGCGTATTCTCTCTTAGCTACTTCCTGCTGGTAAGGGGATGCTGTAGGTTTCAGGGTGAAGATCTTCTCTCACTACTCTAAAGGGCCCCTTTGGCAATAGGAAACATATAGACTGTTATGGAGATTGATTTTGGAATTTAGATGCACTGTTATCAGTTGTGCTTAGCTGTGCATGTTCATATCCTTAAAGATGTAACATGGAAGTGTTGCAGCCTAGAAGACACAAATTTAACTAACAAGTTTAAAGTACATGAGTCAAAAATTGATGTTTAGCCACTGTGTCACCAGGACTCCTACTTTTGGCGAAATGATGTGAATTAGTACATGGCTATAAAGGGCATTGCAGAGAGTATATCCACTGAGCAAGGAAGCCCTAAAAAAAGTTCATGCTGTCCATGGAGTCCCCATTCTCACCTACTCAGTGTTGGGTGCCCTACTGTGAGGAAACAGTTTATTGGTGCTAATTATTAGCATCAGTACCAGGCCCTCGTGAGCTTTATTTAACAGTGTCCAAGGTAGCAAATTGTCTTTGATGAATCCCTTCTGGGAAGACTGAGTGGTCATTCAAAATGAATGGAAGAGTATTAAGAACTTGATGATAGTTGTTATTAGTAGAATCAAATATTTAAACGTGTACACAACCTGGAAAATCGCAGACAGGTTCTTTCTCATTGTCATTAATGATAATAATCACACGGAAACTGCCACTATTCATACTGAGATGGTCCAGGGAAAAGCCTAAGAGGAGAATTTCTGGAACTGTCTGATAACAGAAAAAAAAATTAAACATTTCTCATTAGAGGCCAATCTTGGGAGATAACAGCCAAGTCTACTCACTGGGTTCTCTTTTCCAGTGGTTCCTAGGAAATTGTATTCAAAGCCGATCCTAACAGATTACAAAGTCACAAAAAGTAATTGTAATGTGTGTGGAAGGGGTAGAGGTTAGCTGACTGGGCTGGGATACATTGTTGTGTGCATACATTTCATCTGTCAGTCTCTTCCTTCTGTATGTATGCCTGGCTTCATGTTGCTCTCATACCTTGAGGTCCTTTACTTCTCCAGTTGTTCTGCCTCCACATTTCTAACCCCCCTGCTTCTGTTCCTGTTTACTTCCCTGCCTGCCTTACCCCCTCCCTATCCCATCGCCCCTCATCATTTTATCTTTCCCTTCTGTGTTCCCTCACATTTCCTTCCTTCCTTAACTCCCCTTTGCCTGAACTAGGCTCTGGGAAGCTCTCCAGGTGTATGCTTTTGTTCTTTAGCCATAGGGGGAATGTGATTAGAAACTCCCCCCCCCCCCCGAAACCAGTTGGGACTTGACCACCTGAGTGATCAAGTATGGTCTGCACTTTCTGTGGCTCGTTTGACTCTTAAAAGTTTGAGTTGTATTTAAAAGAGGACTCACATCTTGGTTGGTGGGAGACTGAGAAAGACGTGATAAATTATGTACACTGCTTTGAAACAGATGAGGGAGAGAACTGTTTAAAAGGGTTATGTAATTAGGTATTATTGT